AAGTAAAAGTAAAGTAAAAGTAAAGTAAAAGTAAAGTAAAAGTAAAGCTACGCCCGAGGCCAAGAGTGAGCCCACCTCAGATTCTTGGTCCAACTGACTGTGCCGGGATTGTCGTTGTGCCTGCACAATCACACCTGTGCACAGGAGCAACGCGATGAGCAGGATGGCGTTCCATAGCTGCTGGAGGTATTTCTGCCAACGGAGACCCACCCCAAAAGGAACACCCGTCACTCTGAGTTGATGAGTGGGTACAACCTGCTTACCCGGGTTTAGTAAAAAAAATCCAAAAACCTAGCAGACGCTTTTTACACAACTTGTGAATCTGGACTGGTTTTAGATGCATTGGTCTTTTTTTTTTCCTTGGGCTCAGCAAGCTGCGGGAACTAAGTTCCTTTAGTACACATAAATTAAAAATAAACACCAACACAAACCACACCGCAACAATTAACAAAACAGGGAAGGATTAAGGGATTGAAGACATCAAAAGCTAACAAAATACACAGTTGGAAGGAAGCTAGAACTCAGATTAGACTTGAGAAACCAGAATAATTTCATGCTGCACTTCCAGCAACTTTGCCATGTGCAGTTTGCCCTTTTAAACAGTCTTCCCAGCTGCAGCCAATGAAGGGGGTCAGGGCCCTTTCCTCCCCCATAAACCATGCAACTCATGTTGCTCCCTTCTCCGTTCCTCCCTGCGTGCCCTAGGATGAAGAGGGGGTGGGCCTGGGTCTTCCTCTGACTGCCCAGCTGGCCTGTGCCCTTCCCCAGTTTCCTCCACAGCCACCGGAGCCACACTCCCAGTCCCTGTCAGCTGTTCCACTTCTCCCTCAGAATCAGAGTCCAACAAGGGCATGACACCTGTAGCCTTCAGAACGTTCTTCTCCCGATGCACAGGGACCTACCAGTCAACACATTTCAAACAGAACACCTGGCTCCTCTGTCACCCACCTGGACCTTAGAGCTGTTTTCGCCCGTGCAGATCACGCCCTGCCACTCGGCATACATGCCACCCCGCGAGAGGCCACACGTGGACCACAGGGTGAGGGTTACCCCCTTGGAAGAGGAAAAAAGGGAGAAGGACTGTGGTTAGGCTACAACCAGGGATAAGAGGCAATGAAGCCGGTGGGGTTTCAAAATGACACACCACGCCACACAAATAGCAGGGGGTTGACCGAATAACAACAGCTGGAAGGGAACCTGGAGGTCTTCCAGTCCACCCCCTGCTTGCTCAAGCAGGAGACCCTTCAAATTTCTAGGTTCTATCATATCACAAGACCTAAAATGGAGACCTGAAATGGAGACCTAAAATGGAGACCTGAAATGGAGACCTGAAATGGAGACCTAAAATGGAGGCACCCACAGCTTCTGAGGCACCCACTACTACTGGAGGCAAAGCCACTGGGTTAAAATGTTCTCTCCCTCAGATTTCTCCCTGGCTCTGGGCAGATCCTCTCCATGAGAAAGAGCTGAAGGATCGGACAGGAACTACGAAATGGGTCCTAACTGGGAAGGTAGATACTGGCCAGGATGGGGGCCGCCGAGACTGGCACTTGGCCCGGCCTGGCATGGAGATGCAACCAAAAACTTGGACTGTTGTGACAGGAGTCGCTTAAGGGGCTTTCCTGGACGACGGAGAGTCAGAAGAGGAAAGCTCAGGGCACAAAGCTGCGGCAGCAAACTATGGTGTGTGTGTATGTGTGTGTGAGAATCCTTATGAAAGTGCCACACAACAGTTTTCAATGAATGGGCCCCTTGGCCGGGCTTCCCGGCCCAGGAATGTACCACCTCCCTCTGCCCTCGCCAGCCACATACCATGTTCTCCAACAGCCCTGCTTGATATGTGATCTTCGCTGTGGCCCGAAGACCTCTGCAAAAAATGAGGGAGAGGCAAGAATGAGTAACCGAGGTGGAAGGGACCTTGGAGGTCTTCTAGTCCAACCCCACCCCCCCTTCTCAGACAGAAGACCCTATACCAGTTCAGACAAAGAGTTATCCAATCTCTTCTTAAGAACTTCCAGTGTTGGGAGCATTCACAACTTCTAAAGACCATTTGTTCCACTGGTTAATTGTTCTCACTGTCAGGAAATTCCTCCTGAATTCTAGGTTGTTTCTCTCCTTAGTTTCCATTCATTGTTTCTTGCCCTGCCTTCAGGGGCTTTGGAAAATAGCTTGTCCCCCTCCTCTCCTTGGCAGCCCCACAAATATTGGAAAACTGCTATCATATCACCCCTTGATCCGTAAAGGTTCCAACTTTTAACATAGGTGTCAACTCATAAAATATTTCTATGGTCATTTTAGAGTGGCCAGCAGGGAGGGAGGGGGGAATCAGTGGGCAACTTGCATTCCATAAATGTTTTCAAGGATAGTTTCTAGGTGACGGAAGTTTTTGCCGCGCACAATTCTAACTGGAGAGCTTGCTTGATGACTCTGGGCTATGGAGGTGTCCCATTGGAGAATATGAATTATGATACACCCAGGAGGACGGAGGGAAAACCAGGCTCAAGGGTGACAATGATGTGTCACAGAGTCGGCTACACCCAGGCAGCGCCGGCATGTCTACTCCCAATAAATCTTTTAAGTTTTGGAACTTCAGCTTGAGACTCATGATTTAAATGGGGATAACAGCTGGAGCCCCTTACAATAGGTGGACTCCAGCTCCCAGAATTCCCCCGCAGGAATTCACCGATGGTCCTCAAATTTACAACCACTGTAGCCTCCCTCCAGTCACGTGATCAAAATCCAGGCGCTTGGCTATTGGTATTTATGACGATGGCTGTATTCGCACGATTCCCCGTTTGCGACTTTCCCGACAAGGAATTCTGGGAGTTGAAGTCCATAAGTCTTAATAGTTGCCCAAGTTTGGAGATTTCTGCCGTATATAGTCAATTGTTTTGGGATTATTATTATTATTTTTTTAAGAAACGTGATCAGGGACTTATTTTTTTAATGCAGATTGTCGGGGCTCCGGTAGTTACCCCCATTTAAATCATGAGTCTGTAGCCGAATTTTCAAAACTTACAAGATTTATTAGGAGTAAACATGTCCGGCACTGCCTGGGTGCAGCCGACTCTGAGACACATCATTCATTGTCACCCTTGACCCTGGTTTTCCCCACACACCCCTGGGGGTATCGTAATTCATATTCTCCAATGGGATACATCCATAGCCCAGAGTCATCTATCACGTTCTCCAGTTAGAATTTTGCAAGGCAGAAACTTCAGTCACCTAGTTACTATCTTTGAAAAACTATTTATGGAATGTACTTTCGGTTTCCAAGCTGCCTCACTGCTCCCCCCCTCCCTTTCCGTTGGCAACTCTTAAAAAAACCACTGAAATATTTTATGAGTTGACACAGATTTTCAGAAGCCTTAAGAGAAAAATTAAGACTTCACCTACAGGCTCCAGTCCTTCCCCCACTGGTACCCAGCAAGCTCACCGTAGCAGTGCCCCGAGGAGTTTCGTTACGTTTTCCGAGGTCTGAACGATCACCACGGGCTTCGAAAGGACCTGGGAGACGTCCAGCTGTAGCAGGGAGAAGGCAAGAAAGAGACCATCGGTTGAGGGGGGGTGAGGACAGGGGGCTCCAGCACCTCTCCAGCATCCTCAAAAGCCTTCATCCTTAGGATTTTTTTTATTAAAAAAACAAGAGTGGCCGCACTAAAAATTAGAAGAGACTAAAAAAAAATTAGAAATAGGGGGAATATTGTTATAACTGTTTTTATTCAACGTGTTTAAAGTGAATGTTAGAGGATAACATCAGATTTCGAAAGAGGATCTTTGCTCAGTATTCATGCTATTACTATTAGAAGGATGTAGCAAATCTTCTATATATATAAAAGCGAAAGACTGCTCACGCATCGTCATAAAATCTCCAGAACCGTAAAACCTACGAACTTGAAATTCGGCACATATGTTCCTCTTGGCTTCTACGGGCTCACTAAGAAAGGATTTTTCAAAATGACCATCAGAGCTATTAGTATTTCCTGTATTATTATTATTAACACGCTCTGATGCTAAGGAGTTCTGCTCCCCCTCCCCACCTGAAAAGAAATCTGCTCCAAATGCAAAACCCAAGCAGAGGAGTTTCAGTTTTAGTTTCACAGTACCAAGCAGCTTTAGTATAGAACAGTTGAGCTAAGCCACACCCAGGCTCCTTGCTCTCTCCTTGCTCACACAGCAAATACTGTTTCAGTCTCCAAACAGCCCTCAAGTCTCTCACACACTGACAGGACGTTAGCCAGATGATGCTGGTAGGCAGAGGCAGAATTTCGCCTTTATTTTCCTCCCCGAAAACTAAGCCCCACCACATAGTTTTGTAGCGAAGCACGGGCATCCAGCTAGTATTGAATAATTGAAAAACAAAGGATCGTATGCTAAAACCGATAGGTATAATAACATTAGATTTCGTAAGATTGATTCATGTGATAAGTTTTATCTGCATCAATACTATTTTTGTATCAATACGAATGATGCTCAAATGATCCTACACTGCCCATGAAATGATACTGATGTATGTTTAAAAATATAAACTTCACCCAAAATGAGAGAGAGAGGAAGAAAGGGAGGGAGGAAGAGAGGAAGAGAGAGAGAGAGAGGGAGAGGGAGAATGAGAATATCCATCCTTACCTCTCGGATTCTGTTCTGGTTCAGAGCAAGGATGAGCAGGGCTGAAGCACCCAAAACAAGGGCCCGTTTCATCTGCAGGAAGAAAAATCCACCAAGGAATTAGGAACCAGGAAGAGGACGGTGGCCTTTGGTCCCGAGTTAATTCCCAACCATTATTTCTTGTCCTGGCCTCTGGTGCTTTGGAGAGTAACAAGGTTGGAAGGGACCTTGGAGGTCTTCTAGTCCAACCCCCCGGTCTTCTCTGCACTCTTTCCAGAGTCTCAACGTCTTTTTAATAACACGATATAATATATAAAATACCGTGATCACCATAAAACATCTGCGAGTCGGGATTTTCATCTGTCTGTTTATTGGTTTCAGTCAGCCTGGCCAGGAGAAAGCTAATGAAACTCCCACTAAAATCTCTGTCTATTCCAGGGGTCCCCAGCAGAGGTGGGTATTCAGCCGGTTCAGACCGGTTCTGCAGAACTGGTTGCGGAAACTTTGAGTAGTTTGGAGAACCGACCAATCCCGCCTCTGACTGGCCCCGCCAACCCCATCTCTTCTCTGCCTCCCATTGAGTCCCAGCTGATCGGCTGAGTCTCCTTTGGTTGCCCTGCACAGGAGAACGGAGCTGGAAAGCAGGTTACTGGGGTGGGGTGGGAATGAAGATTTTGCAGTATCCTTCCTCTGCCACGCCCACCAAGCCACGCCCACAGAACCGGTAGTCTGTCTATCCCCCTTGCAAGATGGAGGTATCAAGAGAAAAACAAGCAGGTGGAACGCAGGTGAAGGGGAGAGCGGTACCTTGTCCACCACCGTGCTGGCGAAAGACTCCTCTTTGTGGCCCTTGGGGGCCTCCGTTTGCTCCTCCTCCACCGGAACCACCCCGATCCAGGTGTCCTCATTGTCCAGCCTTGGGTCAGTGTCATTCACCTGGTGAAAGAAGGCAACTGTTCTGACCCCTGTCCTTTCCCAACAAATCAAACACAATCCAAAAGGAACAGAAACCTTGTAATGCTTTTACAAAATAATTAGCTGTGATAAGCACAAGCCTTGCCAAACTGTGTGAGACTTGCCAAAAGATAACAGACAAGAAATAATTTGCAAAATAAGAATCCTCAAATACAATCTCAGGATACTGGAATGTCCACGAGGCTGAGTTCAAAATGTCTTTGCCTTCTGCAAGGAACGTTCGCTTCACAACTGGCTTTTAACTTCTTGAAGGAGAGGCCATTACCTTTCAGCCTTACTCCCATGCTGTTATAACTATTCTTTCCTACGAGCAATCCTGCGTGCACGCGCACTTGGCACAGGCTCCTCGGGAACCTCCTCATCGCTGCTGCCAGTCCTCACAATCTCTGAAGGCAGCAGTCCACTCCCTGATGGTCCTGGCCCCTCATCTGAGTCCTCGCTCTCCTTAGCCATCCGCGCCTGCTGCCGGCTAACCACAACAACAACATGGCCCCGGTTAGCTCCCTGGAAGCCCAGGACCTCGGCTTCCAGCGCCTGCTTTCCAACCCAAGGCACCTGGAACAAGCCCCCATGACATCGTGCGCATGTGGGGGGGGAGTTTTATTTGTACCTTAACGAACGTATTTGGGACCAGAATTGCCCTGGCTTAGGATGGCGGTCATGAAGCGAAGTGCGCTGGATATTACAACCTATTTGTGCCCCGGTTGTTAAGTGAATTGTGGCAGTGAAGTCATTAAATGAATCTGGCTTCCACACACACATCAATGTTGCTTTTTGGAAGCCCAGCAGTCATAAGTACAGGTAGTCCTCAAGTTACGGCCACAATTGAGCCCGTTTATTTCGCTAAGTGAAATATTTGCAAAGTCGGCTTCAGGCTGACCTGCCCGTCTTGCCCTCCCCCCATCCCTGGAGCACCGAAAGCCCCCTCCCCAAAGAGCCCCTCTCCCACGGGGTTCAGAAGAAGATTGAACCCCCCCTCCCCCCATCCCTGGAGCACCAAAATCCCCCTCCCCAAAGAGCCCCTCTCCCAGGGAGTTCAGAAGAAAGTTGACCTCCCATCTGCCCCCATCCTTAGAGCCCCCTCCCCAAATAGCCCCTCTCCCACAGGGTTCAGAAGGTTGACCACTTCCTGCCCCCCTCCCTAGGGCACCAAGAGCCCCCTCCCCAAACAGCCCCTCTCCCAGGGGGTTCAGAAGAAGGTTGACCTCCCCATCTACCCCCCCATCCTTAGAGCCCCCTCCTCAAACAGCCGCACTTTTGCTTAATTGTCCCAGGCAGTGCAGAAGGTTGACCTCACCTCTCTCCCCCCTCCCTAGAGTACCAGG